CAAGTGAGTGATGCCCATAAGGTGTGGGTACACTGATGTAGTGAAGACAAGTAGACATGTGGCCCAGACTGGTGGCCTCTCTGAGCGTTCTCTGCCTGTCCACATTGAGAATTCTTGTCGTCCTCTAAGCCCAGTCACAGCTGCGGGTGGCAGAGGGGGCCCCCATACAGAAGGGAACTGTAAGTGGTTTTTCTGCCAGTGCTTGCCTTCTTTTGGGATAAACACCCCAACCAAAGCAACTTGGAAAAGATGCAAGTTTCACCTGACAGATTACAGTCCATCACTGAGAGAAATTAGGGCAGGAACTCAAGGCAGGAGCTGATGCAGAGGCCATGGAGGATCGCTGCTTACTGACTTGATCCTCATAGCTTGCTCAGCCTGCCTTCTTATAGAACCCAGGACCACCAGCCCAGGGATACCACTCACAATAGGCTGGTCCCTCCCACATCAATCACTAATGAAGTAAATGCCCACAGGACTGTATAAATGCCAATCTGACAAATGTGCTTTCTCAACTGAAGTTCCTCTTCCTGAGTTACTCTTGCTTATGTGAAGTTGACAAAAACAAAACAAAACAAAACAAAACAGAAAAAAAAAACACCTGACTAGATAAATCACCAACCCACAAAGTCTAATTGTGATCATTCCTAGAACAGTTTGTTGTCAACCCCAATAATTCAACAGTAGAGTTATAAAGAACAGAAGAATCATGAAGAGCCTTTGGGCTGCAATAGGGTTGGGGATTATTTTGGATGAAATACGACAGCTTTATTGCTGGTGGAAATGCTATCATAACAGTGTTTAGATTATGTAAATGGTTGCTAGGTCAGAACTCAGCCAGTGTCTGCTTTTTTGTGTACTTGTCTGTTTTATTTTGGGGATGCTAGGGATTAAACACGGGGCTTTGCACATATTAAGCAAGGACTCAGTCACTGAGACATGCCTCCAGCACCTCACTGGCAGATTCTAGGCATGTGCTCTACTATTGAGTCATGACCCCCAGTCCTTCACTGGGGGATTCTAGGCAGGGGCTCTACCACTGAGCCACACCCCATCCCCTCACTGGGGGATTCTAGGCAGGGGCTCTACCACTGAGCCACACCTCAGCCCCTCACTGGGGGATTCTAGGCAGGGGCTCTACCACTGAGCCACACCCCAGCCCCTCACTGGGGGATTCTAGGCAGGGGCTCTACCACTGAGCCACACACCACTGAGCCCTAGTCCAATTCCATTCTTGAACATTACAAGGACAACTAATAGGGAAACATAAGCATGATCAACTTTGAAGAGTCCCTGCCAACCTACTAACCTGATGGAACATAGCTGTGGGCAAGATGGTTTATGTGAGCTAACTCGTTTCTCCTCACTTCTAACCTGAGAGGTGAGTGTGGGTCCTCCACAGAGGCAGGCAGTGTGCCCCAGCAGGATACATGGGAAGGGCTGGGCAGTGAGTGGAAACCTGCCTTCTGAAACAGGAAGTCAACAAAGAAAGGCTTTGTGGGTAACCGATGAATCACACCCCAGCGGTGTAAACATCGTGCTACGAAGGTCTCTCACCGCAGAAGCTGGGCCTGTTGTTGGCCCGAGAGGAAGGAAGGGGTGGTTAGAAAAGAGATGGGGTGGCATGACCTGCAATAAAGACAGGAGGCCGAGGTTATGAGGCCTGACCTGGAATCGGTGGGGCTCCCCTTGTTCAGCCTTGGCCTTACTCCTTAAACACCCACACCCTCCTGATGGTGGCTGAAGCCAGAAATAATAAAATCAGAAGTGAGGATCGAGGCTTGGGGACCAGCCTGGAAGCTGAGACACACAGCCTCATAAAACCTGGAATATCCCCCCCATATGTAGCCAGGCAGAGCCTTCCTAAGTGTCCCTGAAGCTCTCCAGAGCCAGGCTGAATAGCCACAGCTCAGCAGCTACAGGAAACGCCTATGAAGCCCGTGCCTGGCTTCAGAGGCATCATCACTTGACACATGTGCCCCCCTTCCCTCCTCCCACACGAGAGTGAAGCAAACACAGGCACTAACCTTCCTTCACACCCTAAACTCAGGAACAAAGAAAGGAGACGCTACAGAAAACCACTGTACCAGGGACCCCTTCGTGTATCCTGCCACGGAGGATCGCCCAGCATCAGACCCTCCATGGTGGGGACTGCTGGCTCATTCATTCGTCATTGCCTTTATTGCCCTCTCTTGACCTTTAGCCACACAGAACCTGGCATGGGTAAAAGCAGCGACTGTGCAATCCAGAGGGCACCAGAGACAGCAAGGACGAGCTACATAGTCGCCTGATGGCTCTGTGTGTGCCCAGCCTCCATCTGAACAGTGGGCTACCCATGCTGTTTGCTACAGAGTCCGCCAAAACCAGGTGACTGCCTCATGGGGAGGAGCTGAGACCCCTGAGCCCCTCAAATACCAGTTGTGTAACAAACAGGACCCTGGCATCAATAAAATAAGTAAGCGGGCAGAGCAACCCACACCTATAGTCATAGGTACTACTCTTGAGGTTGAAGCAGGTGCATCAGTTGAACCAGGAGTTGGGTGACAACCCTGGACAACATAACTAAACCATATCTAAACAGCCGAGGAACAAGGAACAGTCTGGATGTGGTAAAATACACCTGTAATTCCAACATTTCAGAGGCTGAGGCTGGACCATTCTGAGGTCAAGGCTAGGCTGGGCTACACAGTGAGGGGAGAGAGAGGGGAGAGAGAGAGAGAGAGAGAGAGAGAGAGAGAGAGAGAGAGAGAGAGAATATGGAGAGACAGAGGGCAGCATTTTACCAACATAGAAGAGGATGAGATGGGAGGAGGCTGAAGATAGATGAAGGAAAACAAGAAAACCTGGCATGGTAGAATGTTTCCAGAGAGTTCTGAGAGAAAGACCTCAGTCCCCCAAGGAGCTGATGGTTATTTGGTGAGCTATGAGTCTACATGGTTTCTGTTTCACCAACTGGTTGTGGTGTGGCTATGAGGAAGCAACCACACCGCTCTGAAACTCAGTTTCTCTTCTGGAAAAGGAGATGACAGTCTCCATGTCTGCAGCATGGCTGGAGAACTGAGTCCGTGCAGCCAAACACGCTCCTGCCTCCGTGGAGCAGCAGGCGGCTTTCCACACAGAGATGCCGCTGCGTCCACCCAGCTCACGCTTGGCAGACAAATCAAAAGACTATAAATAGACATGTCTCAGTTCTCATAAACGGGTTAAATATGACTTGGCGTCTTGCCCAGGCTTCCTGTTAGGGTAGTGGGTGAGGACTGTTCTCTGCAGGGGTCTGCTGGGCGTCAAGGTCACCGGCAGTGGAGAAGGCGGGAACTGGACTTCAGTGCAGGTGATGTCCCTCCTAGACACAGATTGCCTCCAGCACTTTGAGCCCTGGCAACAGCCCTGCCCAGTGACTCAGGCTGGGCCACTGGCCCGGTTGCCTGGACTCACCCTTCTGGCCCAGCCTGCATTAGGTCAGCCTGTCTGCAATGAGTCCTGAGACTCTGGATAAGCAATGGGGGAGGGGAGAAGAGCAGGAGACAGCACACTGCTCCAAGAGAGCTTGGACTTCCCTGGGGTCCCTTCCCATCTGGCTCCAGGAAGAGCTCAAAGTGGATCCCACCCTGGCACCCTGATACTTAGAAGTACGTTCTGGAGATAGTACTGGTGGGTCCCCAATGCCTGGGCTGAAGTCCCAGCTGCATCAGTTTTCCCATCTGTAGAAGGCAGAAAATAACAGTACCTCCTACACAGGGTAAGGGGATTTCCTGGCTCTCGGCATAGAGTATCTGTTCTGGATGGCAGAGGGTGTGCCACTATCATTTGTTTTGTAGGAAGAGTTTTTCTGTCCTGCAGCCACTTTCAAACAATCACTCAGAGGCTGAATATTAATTACAAATGCTCGGCCAATAGCTCAGGCTTATTACCAACTAGCTCTTACATTTTAAGTTAACCCATATTCCTATTCATGCTTTGCCGTGTGGCAGTACCTTTATTAGCATGGCATGTTCATCTCTTGCTCCCTCTATGTCTGCTGGTGACGTCATCCCTTCTTCCCATCATTCTCAGTTTGGCTCTCCTGCCTAACTTTATCCTGTTCAGCTATTGCCCAGGCAGCTTGTTTATTAAACCAAATATAGTGACATATATTCACATGGTGTACAGAAGGATTATTCCATAGCATTGTTTTGTTTTAATTTTGAAACAGTGTCTTACAATGTAGCTGCCTGCTGGTCTGGAATTCACTATGTAGCTCAGGCTGGTCTCAAACTCATGAGATTTACCTGAGTGCTGAGCACCACCATGCTCTATGTTATGATTTTTATTCATTTATTTTTATTTATGTGTAGGTGTGTGGTGTGTGTGTGTGTGTGTGTATGTGTGTGTGTGCGTGCACGTGTGCATCTGCTTGTCTGTATAAGCATCACATGCATACAGTGTCAGAGCATCTCAGAAAAGGATGTTGGATTTCCATGGAACTAGAGTTGTAGAAGATTTGAGCTGCCATATGGATGTTGGGAGTCAAATCTACTGAGTCTTTGTCAAGAGCAGCAACTTCTCTTAACCACCGAGCCATCTCTCCAGTCATTGTTATTTTAAGACAGGGTCTTACTGTAGCCTAGGTTGATCTTAACCTTGTAATTCTGACTCTCCCAGATATGGAGAGTCATACCTGTATGGGTATACAGGTATGTGCCACCCTGCTTGAATTAGTATGACTGTTTTTAGTTAGCCCTATATGGTACTCAAAAGCAAGTGCTATAACATAGATAAAGTGGTGCATAGCTCTAATTTCAGTTGATGGGAGGTGAAGGCAGGAGGATCAGAGGTTCAAACTGCCATCCTTGGCTCATGGCAAACTCAGTGCAAGGCTGAACTATCTTCTACTTTCTCTGAAGGGTTTCTGAACACAGATGAGAACCACAGGGGAGGCAGAAGGAGCAGGGAAGGGACCCAGTTCAAGAACAACAGGATGGTGAGGCAGTGTGTCTCTGTGTTGGGGGCGGTCCCAGCTGGGCCACTTCCTTTCTGTAGAGAGTGCCTGCAGAAGGCACGCAGCTTCCCTCCCCTGATACAGCCTCACCGTGTGACTTTGACTGTCTGTCCCTCACGAGGTGGGGTCCATTCCCTCATCCCTGTGTCTGACTTGGTAAGTCATCTGGCCGACAGGCTGTGGTGAGAGAGATGCTGCGTGGGACTCAAGCTCGAGCTGTGAGAAACCTTGCAGCCTCTGATTACTCTTTTGATCATTTGCCATGACCTTTATGAATAGGACCAGCCTGGCCTGTTGGGAAGGCGGAGATGAGAGAGGAGGCATGAAGGGGCTGGGCAAGACCCTAAGAAGTGCCTAACTGAGTGACTCAGGATTTGACCCTGTGTCATATACCTAAGAAAAATAACCTAATGGGGGAAGGATTTGGTTCCGAGTTTGAGCATTCTTGGTTTGTGGCTGGCTGGCCCAGTTGCTTTCAGACCCGTCGCAAGGCACAGCCTCATGGTGGCTGGGGTGTAGAATAGGATCGAGATGTTTAGTTCATGGCAATCAGGAAAGAGAAAGGCGGGGGGGGGGGGGAGTGCATGGGGAAGATGAAGAGAAGGGAGGGGAGGGAAGGAGAAGAAGGGAAGAGAGAACAATTTATACCTCCCAAGGACACCCTCGCAAGCAAGCTACTCGCTCAGAAGAGGTCCCACTTTCTAGTTTCTGTCATCTCCCAAGAATTCATTTAGAAATTCATTTCTGTCCTCTGGGAAGAGGGAAAAAGAGCTCCCACTCTGCGAGTTTGATGGCCTAAGTTTGAATCCCTAGCACCCATATTAAAAGAAAACTTGAATGTGGCCGCCCGGGGCCTGAGTCCCAGCTTTGGCGGGTGGAGACTGTGGATCCCGAAAACTCATGGACCAGCCAGTGGGGCTCAATCCGGGAACTTGCGGGTCTGCTTAAGATCCTGCCTTAAGGCAATTGGTGGAAGAGTGATAAAGAAAAACCCCAACTCCTGTTCTGGCCTCTGTACACATGCAGAAGGGTATGCATACCCATATTCTCACATGCATGTGCACACCCACATGCTCACGTGCATGTGCACTCGTACACACGCGCACGCACACGCAGTTTATGAAGTTGTCCATGGATGAGTCCATTGATCAGCTCAGAGCCCTCATGACCCAGTCACCTCCCTGTGATTGCATCTGACCACTGGGGTCCGGGTCTTCTGGGGGACACTTCAGGTCTAATGTACGTTACCAGTTGAGTTCAGCCTGCAGCATGGCAGGGAAGCCCTTCGCTACTGTTGGAAGGCGCTGAATCTGGGCTGGTCTCTTGCGTAGCAGTAAGTGATTATTACATCTCGTTCATCCCACTTTTGTCAGATGTTAGAAATATCATCTGACGGTTTATTTTCAAAGGTGCCTGAAGCCAGCTTAGGTCCAGCTCCAAACAAATAAAAACACAAGGCTGCTGCCAACACCTGCTAGTCTAGCTATTCCCTTTTACCCAAACTCCACTAAGCAAGGCCCCATTCCACCCCAACACACACACACACACACACACACACACACACACCTAGAAGTTGAGAGTAGAAAAGTACAGCGAAGCTTGCCTAGTAATAGATTTTCCGTAGCCCCCAGATAAATAGGTTTCTCTGTCGATGCAGTAAGCCAGATCGGGAAAGTGAAAGAATACCAATATATACTGAGCAAGGCAGCTCCTGGGTGAGCTCTCCAGTCCCAGAGATGGAGGCCAGAGACGTCATAGGGCCGATCTAAAGCAGGGAGCTTTTACAGCTTGTAGGTGAGGGGTGATGTCGTGTCTGCCACAAGCTGAGTTTATGCCCAAGTGTGGCCAAAAGCTGGATGCTTTAGGCAAGGACTTGGGCAGCTGGCAACTTCAGGGGAGGAAGCTGCAGTGGCCACCAAGAATGCGAAACTGGGTTTTTTGGTGCCTTCCCTTTGCTAAGAGATTCTCTGAGTGGGCAGGGTTTGGAGAGACAGAAATGGGGCTGACTGTCACCCCTGAGACAGGCAGGGGTGAGCTGGAGGCTCCAACTGAACACCTACAAAGTCATGTATCTGATAAACTTTAAAATAAACATGGGATTGGAAAATTTCTCAACAGCTAAGAGCAGGCACGGCTCTCACCCAGAGGACCTGGGTTTGGTTCCCAGCACCCCCATGGAGTTGCTTATGAGTACCTATAATTCCATTTCCAGTGGAGTCAGTGCCTTCCCAAGGCCTCTGAGGGCTCTGCATGCGCTCGGTGCACATAAACACATGAAGCTACACGCACATACACATGAAAACAAAAATCTTCCTGGCGGTAGTGGCATACACCTTTAATCCCAGCACTCAGGAGCCAAAGGCAAGTGAATCTCTGTAAGTTCAAAGCAAGTCTGGTCTACAGAGTGAGTACGAGGACAGCCAGGGCTACAAAGAGAAACCCTGTCTCAAAAAAATAATATTTAAAATAAAATAGTGGTACTAGAGAAATGGCTCAGTAGTTAAGAACACTGACTGCTCTTTCAGAGGACCAGGGTTCAATTCGCAGCACCCTCATGATCGATACAGCCATCTGTAATTCCAGTCTCATGGGATCCAGTGCCCTCTTCTGGCCTCTTTAAGTACTGCATGCACATGGAACACAGACATACATTCATAAACATGAAATAAAGAGGGTGTGGTGATGGCACACACCCTCAATCCCAGCATTGGGAAGGCAGAGGCAGGTGGAGCTTTATGAATTCAAGGCCAGCCTGGTCTACAGATTGTATTAGGGCTACGTGGTAAGATCTTGTCTCGAACAAAGAGAAGAATCTCAAAAGATAATTATAAAATAAAATAAACATAAGGCTGGAAAGATAGCTCAGTGATTGTGAGCCCACACTGCAAAGTGAGTCAGGTTCCCAGCACTCATGCTGGGTGGCTCACAACCACCTGTGACTCCAGCTTCAGAGAGACTCAATGCTTTTGGGCCTCTGCAGGTACCTGCACACACCTGCGCGCGCGCGCGCACACACACACACACACACAGAGAGAGAGAGAGAGAGAGAGAGAGAGAGAGAGAGAGAGAGAGAGAAGGAACAGAAAGAGCTAGTGTAAGAATCTACCCTCCTGGCTATTCTGAATGGGAGCAAGGGCCCTGGGAGGGTTTATCCACTGTTTCCTGCCATCACCCCTACCGTTTTAGGAGGACGCCTTACATGACAGTAAATAAAACCGCTTCCTTTCTCTTCTGAGTCTCTAATACTCTTACTATGAAGCAAGGACTGCCATTTCTCACGTCAGGCCCTTTCTAAAATCTTGGACTTTAGTCCCAAGCTGTTACCTGGAGACTCTGTGTTAGATTGCGCTGAGCCTGCTCCCTGACTCTCACCCCCATGTGTGGCCTTGCAACTTTCTTTGGTTTCTTGGATCTATGCCACCACCTTGTGGACAAGTCTGGGTTGCCCTGCTGGAGAGACCACATTGAAAACTCAGGGGATCACATTTAGTCTGACTTGCAGAAAGCCAGCTTCCAGATGAAGAAAGCCCTGCCAAGCACAGGAAAGCCAATGGATGATATGATAGCTAATCTTATATAGATAGATATAGATACAGATACAGCTAATCTTATACAGATAGATATAGATATAGATACAGATACAGATACAGATACAGATACAGATACTGATACAGATATAGATATAGATTTGCTGTTGTTGTTTTTCCAGATAGGGTTCCTCTGTGCAACAGCCCTGGCTGTCCTGGAACTAGCTCTGTAGACCAGGCTAGCATCAAACTCACAAAGATCTGCCTGCCTCTTGATTGGCTAAAACCTTGTAGATTAGTGGGCCCACCTCTGAGTGTGCCTGTGAGGACATTTCCAGGAACAGTCTGTGAAGGGTTTGATCCAGCCACGGTTTAGCCAAGGGATGGATTTAATGTGTGAAAAGACAGAGCAAAAGCGATGGCTCAGTGGTTAAGAGCACTGACTGACCTTCTGGTGAGCTCAGCTCCCTTCAGCCAAGCTGGACAGCTCACAACCAAGTGTAACTACAGTTCTGGGGGATCTGGCATCCTCTTCTGACCTCCACTGGCACCTGAAGACACATGACTTATGCTCAAGGGCACACACACACACATACATGCAGAGGTATACACAGGCACATGCACACACAGACACACACACAGGCATACACACACATGCACATCCACACACTTCAGGGGTTGCGTGGCTGTGGAGGTTGGTGCTTGGGAGATATCTTTGAGAGGCGTGCTGTGTCTTGCACTCCCTATTCCTCCTCTCAGCTTCCTGGCTGGCATGAGGCCTACAGACATCTTGTTATGCCCTTCTGTGACAATCTTTCTGCCTTGCTATTTGCCCTCACAGCAATGGAGCCAGCAGGCCATGGGCTGAAGCCTCTGAAGTCAGGAGCAAAATACATGCTATATCCTGTAAATTCTCTCAGGTAAGTTCTCTCCATGACAAAAATAAGAATCTAACACGAAACCCACAATTGCTGCTGACCAGAGAAGCATGTGCATTCCCGGAGGGGTGTCTTGCTGACCTGCAAACATGTAAAATGTATTTTTACTGTTATTTTAAATCTCTGGTTTGGGTGTGTTTGACTTCACAGCCATACTGGTACATGACTGTTTGACCGTTTCAACTATGAGGAAAGGAATTCACTTTTCTGGGTCTCCGTTCCCTCCTGTCTGTTATTGTACTTTTATTAACTTTGTATGTTGCAACTCTTTCAGAAGTTGGGCTTATCACAGAGAAATAGCAAATTTCTGACCCAGAACTCTGTTTAGCTAACTAGAAAAAAATATTAATTCTATGGTGACAGACAGAAGTGGAAAGAATGATAAGCCTAGTAAGAGTTTTAGACGGAACATGTGTCAGTCAGGATGCACCAGGCTATGCTTGGTAACAAACATCTTCTGTGTCTTAGTGGCTTACAATCACACGAGCTTATGTCCTATGTACATGTCTGTTGTGGACTGACTGGAGCTCTGGTGGCTGACATCTCTGATACTGGGGCCTCCACACAGAAAGCAAAAGAACCCTGGGTAATCTCTCTCTCTCTCTTTCTCTCTCTCTCTCTCTCTCTCTCTCTCTCTCTCTCTCTCTCTGGAAATTTGATGTAGTCTGAAAAGGTCTTACGTTATTTCTTCCCACAGCTTGTCTACCAGGGCTGGTCCATGACCTCCTGTACTCTAACAAGGTCATAAATCATCTTATCCTATGCCGAGGAGGTAGAGAACCAGGGAGATCCTGGAGCTGCTCCAGGGGCTGTTCTAGAACTCTCTATGTGGTGGGAAGACTCAGTTCCTGCTGGCTGGATGATCAAGGACTTGGGATTTTGTTGACTGTCACCTGGAGTCCACTTGCAGGTGTTCCTACAGTCCACAGCTCTGCAGTTGTTAAACGGCTGAGAGAGTTGGCCTTCCATCACTGTGACAAAATGTCCGAGATGATCAACTTATCGGGAGAGATTTATTTGACTCACAGTTCCAGAGGCCTCGATGCACGGTTGACTGGTCCAGCCAGTGGCGAGGGAGCATGCAAGGCCACATGGCACAGGAAGCTGCTCATCTCATAGCAGCCGGGAAGCAAAGAGAGATGGGAAAGCACCAAATCCCCTTCAAAGACACACCCCGATCCTTCTAAAGGTTCCTCCATCTCCCAACAGCCACAGGCTGGGGGCCAGCCTTCACCAGGTGGCACTTTGTGGGGCATGGATTGAAACCACATCAGCTGTATACGACATCAAGCCATCAGACTCTGCAAAAGTCTGAGACAGGATTGTGCAATGTCACATCATCATGATAATGATGACCCAAGACCTTTGCCAGAAAGTCAGAAGCAAGGGACCAGAGAAACAGCTCGGTAGTTACAAGCACTCACTGCTCTTCCAGAGGATATGGGTTCGAATTCCAGCACCCACACGGTGGGTCGCAACCATCTATAACAGTAGTCCCATGGGATCCGATGCCCTCTTTGGTGTGCAGACATATGTACAGACAACGCACCTATTTATGTAAAATAAATGTATTTTATGAGAAGCCAGCTCCCAGGTCCAGGGAGCTACTCTCCTCTTCTCTGTAACATAATGCCTGGTGAAGGCAACTTCAGGAAAGATGCAGCACCTGGTCACATCACATCCGCAGTCGGGAAGGACAAGCACCCACAGTTAGTCCCTGGAAATCCCTTTATGGGCACACACAGAAGTGTGTCTTCTAGGTGACCCTAAGTCCCTCAAGTTGACCATCAAGCTCAGCCATCAAGTCTAGTCCACATTCAAGTGAAAAAAACACACAAAGGTGTGGGCACCGGGAGGTGGGAAGTCACGGCAGTCACCCTGGGGTGCCAAGACCTCCCACTTTGGTTTTGTATCTTCTGTGCTGTATAGACGGGCCACTGGCTCAATGAAGAGGCTTCAGCTCTTTGTCATGGTTTCTTCTCCAGCTGCCATAGCTGGGGGTCTCTGCTGGGGGGGTGCTATGGTGTGTATGTGTAGGTGTGTGTGTACAAGTGTGTGTACAGGTGTGCAAGTGTGTGATGTGTGTATATGTGTGTGCACAAGTGTGTGCAAGTGTGTAAGTGTGTATACAGATGTGTGAGTGTGTGCAGGTGTGTGCAAGGGTGTGTTTGTGTACAGATGCTTGTGCATGCGTGTACAGACATGTACACCATGTGCACAGGGCACCGCGTGTCCTGCTCTGTCACTCTCATTCTCCACCTTATTCCCTAGAGGTCTCTCACTGAACCAGGAGCTAGGATGGCATCCAGCAAACCCCATGGACCCCTCCTGTCTAACCTGAGTCCCACTCTGAGGTTATAGGCACACGGTGGCCATACACACCTCCGTTATTTTAACGTGGGCCCAACCCAGCTCCTTAAATTCTTACCCACTGAGTCATCTTGCCAGCCCCTGAGGTCTCTTTTGAATGACCTATCCATCTCCCACCCTTCCCCCAAGCTCACTGTGTGACCTCAGGCCAGTTGCTTGTATCTTCTGCGCTTTAATGTTTCCAGCTATAAAACAAGAGGAGGTGAATAGTCTCAGCTGCCTAGTGGTGGCTTGTGGGGACACGATGTTTATGGAAAAGTCTGCATATTGACACATGAAGAGGGCCAAACATATTAACTATTTTTATCATTGTTATTCTCAGCTTCTGCCTCAGTCAGTTCCAAACGACTCTGGAGGAACCTTCTCTCATTCTGCAGATATCACGGGGAGCCTTCGGTGTGTGGTACGTGGGGGTAGCTCTACCCCGTCTTCCTGGGCCCACGTTCTGCCCTGGGAGCCCTTCCTATATGCCCTGTCAGGACTTCACCGTGCAAATTTAGGACAATGAGTCTTAAGAGGCATTAATATTTCATGCTTTGCTCTGGTGTTCTGCTAAATCGTGTGTGCAGTTTCTGGGAACAGCCAGGCCCAGCTGTTCCTGCCGGTCAGCTGAGCACGGCCCAGTGTCTTGTCCCAGTGTGGCACTGGAGGGCTCTCCTCTCACCACAAGAGCCTGGAACAAGATGTGTCTAAGCTAAGGATGCAGGGAGGTGTGGCTGAGTCTGAGGCTGTGGCACAATAGAGGAAGATGTCCTGAGGGACAGGGAGGGAAAGGCATCAGAGGACCCGTGCAGACTGGGGACACCGCAGAGATGCCCGTGTGTGTCCTCCATCTTGTCCTTGGGAGGCAGGGTTGAATGAAGAGGCCACAATATACCACAATAGACGCGCCCTGTTGTGAAGCTATTAATATTCTTTCTGACTGACATGTTCCTTTGGGGGAGGGAGAAAAGAGACCCAAAAGATTCAGGAAGCAGAGGGGATAGACAAGGCTCAGGAAGCTTGGAAAGTTCCATGATTCACAAGACCCGCCCCGTGGTTGCACAAGCAGTAACCATTCTCTGGGGAGCAGGCAGCCCTGAGGGAGCTGTCTACAAGTTCTACAGAAAGCTTAAGAAAGCAGCTTCCAAGCATGACATCACCTGTGCTGGATCTCATGACATCACCTGTGCTGGATCTCATGACATCACCTGTGCTGGATCTCATGACATCACCTGTGCTGGATCTCATGACATCACCTATACTGTGCTGTGGGACAATGATTTTACCCTGAAAAGATTTGTTTCTTGTACTTGTTTAATAAAATGCCGATTGGCCAGTAACCAGGCAGGAAATATAGGTGGGCGACCAGGCAGGAATTGGAGGCGGGGCAATGAGAACAAGAGAATTCTGGGAAGAGGAAAGAGTCAGTCTGCAGTGGTCATCCAGACAGAAAGGAAGCCAGACACAGAGCAAGCAAGAGGAGAACGCTTCACTGACAAAGGGTACCAAACCACATGGTTAACACAGGAAAGAATTATGGATTAAAATGTAGGATGTAAAAGTTAATAAGAAGGGGCTGGAGAGATGGCTCAGTGGTTAAGAGCACTGCCTGCTCTTCCAAAGGTCCTGAGTTCAATTCCCAGCAACCACATGGTGGCTCACAACCATCTGTAATGAGATCTGGTGCCCTCTTCTGGCCTTCAGGCAGAGTACTGAGAATACTGGATGTATAATAAATAAATAAATCTTTAAAAAAAAAGTTAATAAGAAGCCTGAGCTACCAGGCCAACCAGTTTAGAATTAAAGTAGACCTCTGTGTGTTTCTTTGGGGATGAACGGCTGTGGGAACAGGCGGGACAGAAACCTCTGTTAATAATGCTGGGCCTCAAGAGTGACATTATCCATTCTGGACCTTTGGATGATGCCGCTGCTTTAGAGTCACCCTCATGCATATAAGCACCCACATCATTCCTCCTCCTGTAAGGAACCCCAATAAACTCACTTGTTCACCAAACTAGGCTGGGGTGAATTGATTCCTTCAGTCTGTCATTAGTGTCCAGTCCGGGATGAATAGATGCTTGTTCACACCTCCCTAGAGAAAGTCACACCACACAGCCCGAGAAGATTCCTTCCTCTGAGGAACCCCAGAGTCCCAGCTCTCCTGTCTAGACAGTCTTGCCTCAGTTTCCTTATCTGTGCATTGGGGTGACCAACAGATTAGCTGAGCAGGGCATAGAAGAAGGAGTGAAGTGACCATTGGATATGAATCCAGGTCTGTATCGGCTCACACACCTCCAGGGGCTAGTGCAGGGCTGCTGGGCATAGCTAGAGCTAAGGATGGGACAGTGGAGAGAGGCCAGGTCCCCTTGGGTACAGAGGGCTCAGTTTATTTCACCAGGAGGACCAGATTCCTCCTCTTGCCCCGGGTGGGACGAAAGACCACCTTACAGAGAAGCCCCCCCACAACGAGAACAGAGACCATCAGGAGCATCAACTTCAGGCCCCTGAGGACGGAGTCTGCTTTGCCTGGCTGGGTCCTGGGCTGCCAACGCCCCTGGCCTTTGGTTTGTCTCTCGGCCTCCAGCAGCTCCACAGAGACTGCGGGGTTGAACTGGGCTATCAGTTCCTGTTCCACGAAACATCTGTAAATGGCTGGCTGGAAGATCTGCAGCTGCTGGCCACCGCTGACCGGGTTCATTAAGCTGCCTGTGACCTTGCCAGAAAGCTGGTCCTGCCAAGTCAGAGCAGTGTCGTTGGCTTCCCAGTGAACCGGCCTGAATGGGAGAAACAAAGAGTCAAACTTCAGGGTCCTGCAGAGAACGGGGGACAGAAGGGAGCTGGAGACAACAGCGCCCGGTTCTCTCCATGGAGCACTGTAAACGTCACCAGGGGGCTACTGGGAAGGTATGGCCCGGGAAGCTTCCAGACATTCCCCTCTGACTGGCTGGGTGGCCACTAGTTTCCATTTCCTCATCTGAGAGCAGGGCTGTAGTGGTGGCACCTGCCTCGGAGTAATTTGAAAGACTTTGGGAAAACCGTCCCCTCCATCGGCGTTGCCTCCCCTCTGCTTCCTCCACATACAGTGAATGCCCAGACACACTAGCACACTAGGACTTTCCAGCCACGCTGCCCCAGGCCTCCATCTTTTCCCTGCCATCTACCTGGAGCACCGTCCCCCAAAGCACAACTTTCTCTCGTCTCCTTCTGCCTTGGCAAAAGTGACCGGTTCTCAGAAGAGCCTTCCTTGACCACCTCCCCACTTAAAATTTTGATCCCTCCCAACTGCCACCAGCCCTTAGCAGCGTTTAAAACACTGCGTTTCAAGCTAAATGGGCGCGCACCAGGGATCCCTGCACTCAGAAGGCTGAAGCAGGAGGATGACAAATTTGATGCTAGCCTGGGCTACATAAGGAGAATCCCCATTCTCAAAAAGAGAACTCATCAGTTTAAAACGTCGTGTGGTCTTATTTGTCTGGAACGAAAAGGAGAGTTAATTAATTGGAGTAAGTGGAAGGCTATGCTCTTTACACTGTGTCCTGGGCATCCAGGACATCACTGAGTAGGTGGATGAATCGGGTCCTCCTGTCCAGGGATGACAGAGGGGATCCTGAGCAAACAGGGATGTGAGGTTAAGAAGGCCTCTGTAGAACACGAAAGTTTTGCCAGACCAGATCCTGTGGCCAGTGCCCTCTCAAACATCACAGTTAGTCCACGAGGCCCAGACTAGTCTTAAGCTGGATAGTGTCTATCTGAAATCTCTGCATTTTCCAGAATCTCAGAATGTAACCTTACTTGGAAACTGGGTTATTGTCAATGCGTTACAATGACATCATATTGGAGTAGAGTGGTCTTGAGGTCCAAAGTGTCTGGCGACCTTTTGGAGCCAAGACAGATAAAGATACCCGGGATGGAGGCCAAGAAGTGATGGAGGCGGGGATGGGGAATGAAGCTTCCAGCCCGGAAATGTCAGAGGATCTCTGGTTCTCATAGAGGTTAGAAAAATCAGGGGTGGAGAGGAAGGGCAGACTCCTAACGGTTTGCTTCTGACTTCCAGGCTCCAAAGTAGTAAAAGAATACAATTATCATCATCACCGTCATTGTTGTCTTTGTTGTTGCTTTGAGACAAGGTCTCATGATGTAGCCTTGGCTACCCTGGAACTCATAGGAATCGACCTGCCTCTGCCTCCCAAGTGCTGGGATTAAAGACATGCACCACCTACCCAGCCGGTTTTATTGTCTTAGGCCACCCCAGTCTGCGGTGCTTTGTGCTATAAATGAATGCAACTCCTGTGGTCAAAAGTATCATCAGTGGACAACACATCAGAGAAAAACAGTTGTGGGTAGTCATATGGGTGCTGGAAACTGAAACTGGGTCCTATGTAAAAGCAGCGATTGCTCTTAACTGCTAAGCCATCATGTGTATGTGTCTGGGTACGTACATGCATGTGTCTGTATATATATATATATATATATATATATATATATATATATATATGTATGTATGTATGTATGTGTCTGTATACTGTATGCATGTGTCTCTGTATGTGTACACATGTGTCTGTGTACTGCATGCATGTGTCTCTGTATGTGCATGCATGTTTGTGTATGTGAATGCATGTAAAGTGCAGGTTCCTGAGGAGCAGGTACTTCTGGAGCTGAAGTTACAGGCAATTGTGAGCCACTTCCCTAGTCCCCCCACCTTTATTTCTTGAGATAGGGCCTCTCTCAGTTCTGCTATGCTGGCCAGTCAATGACCTCCAAGACCCTCCCAGCTTCCAGGGCTGGTGTTGCAGGGGCAACATGCCTGGTGGGTGTTGGGGTTTTGATTTCAGGTCCTCATAGTAGTCCAGCAGGCATGTTACTGTTATGGGGAGGTAGGTCCCCCAATATGGAGCATTTCAACAGTGAGGCAGGCGCAAGCCCTGAGGGCAAAGCAGGCAGCAAAGAGCTGGTTGCTGATAGCTGTCAGCGCAGCAGCAGCAGAGGCAAAAGAAAACAATCACCTCTGCTAAGAGACCTCCCTCCCAAGCATAATCGACAGCCAGAGGCCTGAGCAAGATGCCTGCATGTGTCATCACTACAACATGGACAATTTTCTCTACCTCTATAGAGACCAAGACCAGAGCAGACCTGACTCAGAACTTTCGCAACTTTTGCTGGATTCAGGGTTCTTCCTTCTTCAGATAGGTTTGACATCTTTACCCTGATTGGTCCCATTTTCACCTTATTTGTATATGTACACTCAGTCAATCAGGACCCGGATGGTTCCCTGGCACCTCTATAAAATCAGACTCCGGGGCAGGGATGGCGCACTCAGGAGGCCGAGGCAGAGGCAGGTGGATCTCTGTGAGTTCAAGACCAGTCTGGTCTACAGGGTGAGCCAGGGCTACAGAGAGAAACCTGTCTCAAAACTACAACAAATCAGACTCCCTGCAGTTTTAGGGACAGGATGACTGCCGGAGTCAACAGAGCAGGAGGGAGAAGATTGTCTCCAAGACTCTTGGGGGCTCCCTGGACCCAAAGCAAGGAGCTCGCTCCAGGACTCTGGCAGCGGCTGCAGGCAGAGAAGCAATTTCCTGCCTCAGACTCTGAGACTCCCACAGGAATGAACTTGTGTCTGTGTTGCTTTCCATCCTCTTAGACCTGTGCTGAGACCTGCTGCTCCAGAGACCTGCGAGTGCTACTGTAAACCCTTAGCACCTGCTGCTACCAAGAGTTCAAGCCTGCTCCATTGATCAGACTGCCACATTGTTTCCACACTTTAAGACTGACAACAAAGTTCCTCCACTTTATCTTCTTCCCACTCTGCCCAATCCATTTTTGGAGGAGGGTAGGACAAAAACCAGGCTGAAGGTGGGAGATGGTCTCCACTGGCTACTTCCTTACAGGCCCAGCCACCTTCCCAAGGCTGAGCCACCTTCCCAACCTTCCATGATCTTATCAGTTTATGCATTGA